AGTTGGCAAAATAGGGCGCCTGGGCGGCTCAGTGGGTTAAAGCCTCTGCCTTTGGCTCAGGTCATGATCCCAGAATCCTGGGATTGAGGCCCGCATCGCATCGGGCTCTCTGCTCAGCAGGGAACCTGCTTCCTCCTCTCTCTCTGTCTCCCTCTCTGCCTACTTAAGATCTGTGTCTGTGTATCTACTTAAGATCTGTGTCTGTCAGATAAATAAATAAAATCTTAAAAAAAAATTGGCAAAATATTTGATCACTTCACCAAAGAAGATATATAGATGGGAAATAAGCACTTGAAAGATGCTCAACATAATTAGTCATTAAGAAAATACAACTAAAAACCACAATGAGATTCTACTACCTAATAGCTATAATAGCTAAAATTAAAAAGACTGATCATTTCAAGTGTTGCAAGAATTCTCAGACAATGCTCCTAGGAAAGTAAAGTGTAGTATGACTGCTTAGAAACCGTACAGGATTTCCCTTAAAAAAGTTAAACATTAAACATAAACATAGGGATATTGGGTGGCTTATTGGTTAAGCATCTGCCTTCAGCTCAGGTCATGATCCCAGGGTCCTGGGATTGAGCCCTGCATTGTGATCCCTGCTCAGTGGGGTGTGTCCTTCTTCCTGTTCCTCTCTCCTGCTGGTTTTCTCTCTCTTTCTTTCTGTCTCTCTCCCTTTCTCTCTCAAATAAATAAATAAAATCTTCTAAAAAATAAAAATAAAAAATAAATGTAAAGCCTATGATCCAGTAATTTGTCCTAAATACTTATCTAAAAGAAATAAAAGCAAACTATCTATAAGATAGTTGTTACACAAATGTTAAAAGCAGCTCTATTTGTAACAGATCTAAGCAGAAAATAACCCAAACGTCCACCAGAAGATGAATGGATAAACAAGTAGTGGTATATACACAAAATGGAATTCTATTCAGCAGTAAAAAAGGATTGGATTATTGGTCATCACAACTACACAGATAAATCTCAGCTTTCTCTTAACTGAATTAATCGAAACATAAACAAAAAGGCGTATATAATATTATGGTTTTGTTTATATAAAATTATGTAAGACCTCAAACTTACCATAGGTACAGAAAGCAGATCAGTAGTTGCTTGGTGATAGGGGTATGATAAGAAGAGGTTAGAGAGACAGAATACAAAGGAACACAGAGATACTTTGGGGTGATATATGTGTTGACTATCTTGATTGCGGTCATTGTTTTGTGTCTGCATCCACTTGTGAAAATCTTTCAAAGCATCTACTTTAAATAAGTGAGCTTATTATATGCCTACACACCTCAATAAGTTATTTTTTTAAAAATGGCAGCTTCGGGCACCTGGGTGGCTCAGTTGGTTAAGCAACTGCCTTCAGCAAGTCATGATCCTGGAGTCCAGGGATTGAGTCCTGCATTGGGCTCCCAACTCCGCAGGGAGTCTGCTTCTCCCTCTGACCTTCTCCCCTCTCATGTGCTCACTCTCTCTCTCTCAAATAAATAAATAAAATATTTTTTAAAATGGCAGCTTCCCATTACCTTAAAATAGAGATTAAATGTTTCCCATACTACACTAGATCCTACATGATCTTGCCCTTACCTACCTCTCCAGTTTCACTTTGGGCCCACCCCCCTTTATATGTTGCCATCATAATCGGCCATTTAGTTCTTCAAGAGTTTGTGGTCCTTCTCACCTCAATACCTTTGCAAATGCTATTCCCTCTCCTTTCCCCACACTTAATTCCTAGTTAACTTCCTCTCATCCTTCAGTTCTCATCTCAGATATTAGTCCCCAAGAAAAGATTAACTGAACACCCCAAGATACTTGAGGTTTGCAACACTCTATTTTTTCCTTTTAAAATTTGTCAAAATTTTTATTTAGATTTTGAGTACATTTTCAGTTAATGGCTATCAACACTACTAAAGTACACAAATTTACATTTAGTTAATAGTTTTGAAGAATAAGTTAAATGTAATTATAACATGTTATATATAAGGAAAGAGATAAACTGCTTAAAATCACACACATACTAGTCAATGGCAGTGATTTGAAATCAGCTCTCTCTGACTTTAAAGCATATAATCTTAATTAATGATTAATCATTCTATAATATCATATGCACTATGTATGATATGATACCAAAAAGAAATATATTGTGGAAGTCAGAGCATGATCTCTAAAATGATGGCAGATAAATAGGTAGTATTTCCAGGGAAGCAGTCTACTTGGAAGAACCTAAACTGTTTGTGGGGTATCTGATATTTAAGCCAAAAAGGGAAGTGGAATGGTTCTGAAATTTGGAGATGAAGTTGGCTTCAGGCTGTCAGCAATAAATCCTTGCAAGATAAGAGTAAACATAGTGCTATTCTAGATAGACTGTGGTATTGGGCAGATTAATAAGGCAGAGATCCAGGGATTTAGTACAAAATGAGAACCAAGACATCTCCAGGGCTAGGCAGAACCTCATAGGGAAATTCTGAGATAGAAATATGGAAAGCATGATTTGGTACTGAATGCTAGAGTGCTGCTTTGCATTTGTAAAATCTCTCCATATCGCCAAGAGACCTTTACCTAACCACTGCCTTACCACGCTACTCCAGTTTCAAGTACTTCTCAGCAGAATTAATCACCAAATTTGAAAATTTAAAATGTAGGAGACACATGGTAATAGAAGAGGTGAGAATATATACAAAATTTTGGAAAGTGCAAGAGAATATTAAATCGATATTCAGTTATCTAAGTAATTATATATGTAATAACCAGACATTATAAAGTAAATCACATTCAGTGTCTCAACTGTTTTATCTTTTCTACATTAAAAAATATATATACGAGCTCATCCAAAAAAGATTTACTATTGAACAGGAGGTAGGTTTTTGGTTAAATGACACTGCCACTTGACAGATAAAAAAACTGCATGCTATCCAAAATTCTTCATTCCTCAAGTAGCTTAAAATATAGGGGTGTTCATAAACTATCTTTAAAAGGAGAGTATAATATATTGCCTCCTGTCAGAGAGAAAGGACTTATCTTAAATCAGGAAACGAAATACTCCCAGGGTCTTAAGATACATTTATTTGTTTATTTATTTATTTATTAAAGATTTTATTTATTTATTTGACAGAGGCAGAAACAGCAAAAGAGGGAATACAAGCAGAGGGAGTGGGAGAGGGAGAAAGGCTTGCTGCCCAGCAGGGAGCCCCTGCAGGTCTGGATCTCAGGACCCTGGGATCATGACCTGAGCTGAAGGCAGAAGCTTAATGACTGAGCCACCCAGGTGCCCCAAGATGCACTTATATTTTTAAATGAAATAAATTCTAGGCCAAATTTCTCACCTCCTAGATTAGAATTTATGCTAATCAATAAAATATAGGTATTTGTAAAATATTAGTAAAATATTATAATTTATATTTCAATAAAGTTTATAATTCTTATAAGATACTACCATTTGTTTATGAAAAGTATAATTTTTACTTTCAAATATATCCTGTTATAGTATGTGTACCTTTGGAATTTAAATGGAATAAATATATTTCATTTTTATACAAAATGAGCTGTATTTAATCATCAGAATCTTGCATTGGCCATCTTCAATAGATTTTATAACATTTAAAGGCACTGTGTTTTCCAAATGTCTGAAGTTAGTGTCTCTCCTAGACATAAACTACAAAAGCAAATTCTCTATTCCTAGTTTGGCTTGCCTCTAAGTTTGTTTTCCTTCTTATAAGTTGTAAAACAGTTCTGATGTATATTGAAAAGAGTATGCTGTGTTTAAACTAGTATCTTTATTGATAACAGTATGTAAGTATAAATTTATAAGCAATAGTCAGCAACCTAGAATCTAATCCAATTGTCGAAAGGCTCAATGCTTTCAATAACTCAGTTCTCTGTGACTGGCAAGATTGAATACATATTTTAAAAAACATGAAGGATATTGACTAAACATATTTCACCCATATTTTTTTTCTTAAACAGTATAATATTATTATATTACCATTGAATAAACTATTCTTTACAGAACTAGGGAAATCCGATTTTAGTATTTAAGTTCAGTAGGGCCACTGGCTCTTACCAAACACCTGTTACTTTCTCTTTCCTGAAAGTCAGTCCAAACTCTGGTGGCATATTAAATAAAACCATAAAAGCCACTGCTATTTTGTTTCAGGTTGCTTGAGGAGGTTAATGCACTGGTGAAAAAAATGGGTTATATTTCAGGAGTATAGAAGGGAGAAAAAAGACAAAAGTACTAATCAACTTTGAAATCCATATATTTCTGGGAAGATGAATACACAGGATAATATGATAATCCCAAATGTCAACCTCATTTTTGCTGAACTTCTAAATATTTTAATAATGCCTTAATTTTTCACCTTCATATGACTCAGGGTACACTTTTAACAAAGGTCTCAGAAAAGCCCAAATGCAAACTCAACTATCATGTTTTTATATTTAAGAAGTGCAGTGTGAGCAGCCCAGGTATCAGGTATCAGGTCTCATTTTCATACCCTTGCTGCACTCGTGGCACTGTAGAGAAACTACCATAAATCATTTCTTGGCTGTGTACAATTAATTTATGTTCTGTACTTGTCTTCCTCTATGTTTTTATGCTGTTTCTTTTTATATTTGATTTTTGAGGTCACTCTGGGTTTGAAGTAAAATACTCAAGCTTCATATTAAAATATCACTGGGTGATATTATAGTAAAAGTTTTAATAACGAAATTCAGGGTCACCTTTTCCTGCAAGTTTTAAAATTAACTGTCAAAAAGGGTCAAAAGAAAAATAACCTGTAACTCCCTAACCCTTTTAAATATAAGAAGATATTAAGTGGGTTTATTGCATAATTTCGGGAAAGGTAAAACATTTCTACTATCACTGTATATTTTCACAGTGATCCCTTTATCTTATTTATCATTACCTTGGAGGTGGTTTCAGACATCATCAGAATTTTTTACCACTTAGCTTATTTGAAGTAAAAGAGGAAAAAACCTTTTTTAATAATTTTCAGAATAGCTATTCTTCCAGACGGAAGTCTACGGATCCTAAATGCTTCTAAATCTGATGAGGGAAAGTACGTTTGCCAAGGGGAAAACATCTTTGGTTCTGCTGAAATCATAGCCTCAGTATCTGTAAAAGGTAAGAAAATGTAGCTAACTGTGTTATAAGCATAGTTTCATGGCTTTGTCAGAAAGTGAATAAATATAACATGCATGTAAAATGTGTTTGCTCATATCTGTCTGCATGCTCCTATTGATAAGATAAGATACACTGCAAACATGGAACTAACACATCCCAATTGTCCCTTTCCATTATTTAGAAGACCATAAAGAAAAGAACACCTTGTTGGTAGAAATTTAACATTAGAACAAAATATGTGAAGAAATAAATGTTAGAAATATTAGAAACAAAATATTAGAAACAAAATATGTGAGGAGATAAAGCTTTCTGAAGTTTTACTGGATGTCTCAAAATCCAAAAGTATTCCAACAATATAAAAATATTTTTCCTCTATCAAGATTAATTTTAACATCAATCAGTAATATTCCTTTGTTATCACTGCAACTGGGGGTCTGGGGCAGAAAGGAGTAGCAGAAGGAGGACATAAACATTGTGGTGTCAGAGTGTGTATCAGGTAAACAGTTACCTGACCTGCTCTTTGGTGTTTGCATCAATGGAATTTTTAAGCACTGTCATTTTTTAGTGTTATAAATATTACCACATAAATGTTTCTATTAGTTTTCTAGTTCTAACAACTAGATTTTGGCCTAGAACTTTTTTTCTTTTTGGCCTAGAACATTTTTTGAGACTACATATCATTCTTTAGTACAAAGAAAATCTCATATGTTAGACAGAAAATCCCATCAATTGGCAAAGAAAAATTTTTCCAACTGAACTATATCTTCAATCAACTTTTTCCCTGTAGGCATGTATTAAATAGTAAATCATACCTGGGTATAAAAATATAGAAATATTAAGTTTTCTTTTTCTTTAGAAATAAAAATGTCATTAAAACAGCCAGTACTCTGATATTTTAGAAAAGAAGCAAACATTAGATGAAAGGATGAAGGAAGGAAAAGATGAAGAAAGGAAAATAATTTAAATGATGCTTTCATTTATAGCATACATAATGGGAATCTGACTATATCTGCTAATCTGTGTCTTATGTGCTAAAGAATCTTTGTCATAATGAAGCAATGTTGAATTCACAGACATTTTTAAAATAATAACAAAAAACGTTTCTGTTAATCACAAGTTAAATGGAATATTTAATTACTCAGAACATTCCAGTTCTCACAAAGTTAAACTACAATCAGTATGCTGTGATTATCTGTCTTCTCTGATGAAGCCAGAATTTAGGAAGCCACACGGAATATCCGACTTCTAGAATGGTAACATTTACATTCCTTTTCTGGTATTGTACTTTCCTCTCTGACTGCTTGGAAGGATGTCACATATTAAAGGATCTTATGAGTGGTTAAGAATGATGCTTCATCAGACTATGCTATTGCCAAAAGCAGATCTGGACTAGGAAAATTAACCTAATTTTTAATCATTTGGGTCAGTCTTCTTGAGATATCTACAATTAGAAATCTAATTAGGAAAAAGGACTAAGTCAAAATTATTTCCATCCCCTCCCTACTTTATTAAAAATACCATATTTCAATTATTTGATCACTAGCTTAAATAACCTTTAGATGTACAGCAGTATTAACCTTTATTGGCTCTAAACACAATGAAAGGGTATCTATTTTTAAAAAATTTAATTGAATCATTAAATAATTAAACACACACATTTTTTCTCAAAAAAAATTTCCCTTCCAGGAGCTTGGGTGGCTCAGTGGGTTAAAGCCTCTGTCTTCCGCTCAGGTCATGATCTCAGGGTCCCGGGATCGAGCCTAGCATCAGGGTCTCTGCTCAGCAGGGAGCCTGCTTCCTCCTCTCTCTCTGCCTGCTTCACTGCCTGCTTGTGATCTCTGTCTGTCAAATAAATAAATAAAAATCATTAAAAAAAAATTTCCTTTCAGTAATTTGCCTTTCGTTCTGGATCTCAACTAAAAGATCCTTAATTCATCAAGAGTGATTATTTCAAATAAGGTAGCAGCGCTTTTTCTATTCATTAAAGGGTTTTGTAGAGTATAAAGCAAATATAAGTTGGTATAATAACAGTATTATATTTTTACCTCTGTTAAAATAGTAATTTAAGGGGAGTTGCTTCCTATAATCTTTAAAGAAGATTTTGAACCTTCTTTTAACTCACTTGAATTCTTCTTCCTTAGATATGGAACAATTTTTATTGTAAAAATCATTTTATTTATACTTAATGATCCTTGAAGGCAGACAACAAGGTTACAGCTTCTTTTTTCTAATTTTCCCTCTTTGGGAATACCAAATGCTGCTTATCGTTATATATTTTCTTATCTTTTTTGCATAAGTTTACTTCTTAAAAGGAATAGTAACTTTTAAATCATCAGTTCCATACACAAGTATAGCAAAATGCCCTAGCATACAAAAAAGGTAATATTTAATTAATAATAGTTTAGTTAAAGATGTGTATCTAGAGCAACTGCATTGCATAAATTTCTTGTTTAAGTTTTTCTCTATTACTTAAAATATGAAGTACAAGGAAATACTATGTGTCAATTATGTTAATTAATATATTCTTATTTCTGTAGAACCTACAAGAATAGAACTTACTCCTAAAAGAACAGAGTTAACAGTGGGAGAAAGCATTGTCCTTAATTGCAAAGCAATTCATGATGCTAGTTTGGATGTTACTTTCTACTGGACATTAAAAGGACAGCCTATTGATTTCGAGAAAGAAGGTGGACATTTTGAAAGCATCAGGGCCGTAAGTTAATATATTTTTATTTGTTGAGTACTAATAATTTTTAAAATTTATATTCAAATGTAGAACTTTCTTATCTAGGAAAAAAATCAGTTTGATTCAAACAATTACTTTGTTATTTTATGTTACATCAAATTGAAAGTATTTTTTTTAATCCAGTAAAAAATTGAAAATACTTCATTATACAAATCTGGCTTCTTTCCCACTTTTATTTACTTGATTAATATTATCAATATTTGCACTTTACTTCTTAGATGTTATATTGCTACATACTAGGGTTATTTAAGCACTCTTACCAGTAATTATGATTCAATAAATAAATGAAATAAGCCTGCTTGTCCTACTCCTCAAGAAATGGTGATTTTGGAGATTCTTTAATTCCTCAGAGGAATTAAACATGAGCTTAGACAGAGCTTAAACATGCAACCAATAGTCAAAAATACACACCAACCTTAGATAAGCTTTCATAGGTATATTCATTTCTTGTCTATCAAATCCTTTCTTTGTAATATCTATGTGGCAATCAACTAAATGAAGTGGGGATCTTTTGAACCAAATACTTTAGTATAGAACAACACAGTGTTCTCAATAAGGAAGTGAAAAAGACCTGCTTCCTCCACACCTTTGTTTAAGATAAAAGAGTGACATAGTAACAAAGGGAGAGAGAGAAGGATGATGGAACTGCGGTAACAGATATTTTGGCTGAAATATCCCTTTTACATTGGCTAAAGAGATGGATCTCAATGCAGTTTATGCCTGCAAATCCAATTTAAAATACTTCTTTATATTAAATCCATTAATTCTTCTCTAAATATCCATTATTAATATCCATTCATTCTTCTCTAAACACTTTGGGAAGCACTGAAAAACTACAGCTGTAGTAAGCCAAATAAAATTCAGTTTAGATTGAATTTTATTTTACAGGTACTATGATACAGTGAAAAAAGTCCTACACCCAAAGTCAGGAATTTTCTGGGTCAAGTATCAGCTCAATCCCTAATTGGCTTTGTAACAAAAAGCCGGTGACTTGGCTTTCCTGGGCATTAAACTCATAGAGAAGTAAAGTGAAAGACTTGCACCCAAAAATTGCTAAGGTCCCTTCTCACTCTAGAATTTGATAAATTTATATTAGTAGAAGAATAAAGATGAGCTATCTTTGTTGGATTCACCAGTTTAACCAAAATTAAACATTTTCTTCTACATTTATCTTTTCATCCTGATTTACTTTGAAAATAATGAGAGAAACTATATATAAGAAATAATTACCAACTGCATTATTTAGATCTAACCAAATAAATTAATTTTAATTATTAATGGTTATGTTTTATGTAAAATATTTAGAGAATGTTAAATTAAATTCATTTTCCTCTGATTTGTGACTTTTCTTTTTCCTTTACATGGGGTTAACAATTTCTTTAAGATTGTGAACAAATAAAACAGAAGCAGAAAAATGTGGTATAAAAATATCACATTTGAAAACAAAAAATATACCATCAAAATACATCTTCTTAAAATTGTCTGTAAACATTCATTTTGGGTGATCAGATGTATAAAGTAAAAATATGTCTAAAATGAATATTTTTTTCATATAAACATGTCCCTTACTTTAAAATACCAACAAAGAAATTAATCATCCTGGTAAAATTGTATGAATTCTTGTTTCTGCCTCTTAAACATTATTACTCTGGTTTGATATCATTCCTTTGTAGCAATAATTACTGTTTATCTTTTTCATAAGGTTGGGAGTTAATAATACCTGCTGTTTTCCTCTTTATACATATGCTCTTCTTGCCCTTAAATAGTACAAAATTGACTCCTTACTCCATGCAAACCCATATGGTTACAAGCCATGTTAAAATTAGGCTCTGGATTATAGAAGTGATAAGGAACTATAGAATAGAAGAAAAAAGCAAATTATCCTACTGAGAAGTGAAAAAGTATTTAACTTTAAGGTAATTTAGCATTCATCATATTTAGTGTACTTAGAATAATTAAGAGAAATACATATGTACTTAAAAATTTTTGGAAGCTTCAAACCTGCAAGGTGTAAAAGAAATTCTTCCCCTTTCTCTCAGTTACCTCAAACACTGATTTGGCCTTGTCTGGCTTCAAGGACATACACTGGAGACAATTCCATTTTATGACATTGAGGACGCAGAAAGAAAAAAGAAAAAAAACATTCTATCCCTAAAATCATATGTTTTAGAAGGAGAAATGAAAGTGTTATGTAAAAGGGAGGTTTGGGAAGGCCTCCGGACTTGCGGGCTATCTTCTGTTTGAGAAGCCAATTGAAGACTCTGGGAATAGGAGGGACAGGACAGAGCTCACTCAGAAGGGAAGGTGTTTAATGGCCTACTCTGAGTTTCTAAGGAGAGCCATTAAAGAGACCTGAGGGGTCTAGGCTAGCACAGCAGAGTAAGAAAACCAAACAGATTCAGGGACTCAAGCAAAGAAGAGTGTGCCTTTGATTGGATTAACTGCCCTGGGACCTCAACCAGCAATGGGTGATTGAAGAGGGGTAATTCAGAAAAGAAAAGGCAGTATATTTTTTAACATTAACACTGCGAAGTGTCAACTGAAACAACCAAATCTCTGGGAGGGAAAAAGTACCAATGACATCTCGTAGATGATAATATATAGCTTAATGAAATTCTTTACTTTTCAGCTAATTGTGCTGGTGTCTTTTTTACACAGTCATTGTTTTTTAGATAAAGCTGTTTATGTGTAGCTATCATAAAATCTGTATACAATGTTTCAATACACTTTTGTTTTAAATAAAACAGCTTTCAGACTGCATTATAAGAGAGTGAGTAGATAAACATATATCCAGTTAAAAAAAAGCAATAGCTATTGCTTTGAAATTTAAATTAAAACATCTATAATGAAAATTTTACTATTTCCCTTGCCCATTTTACTTACTCCATGTTTTATAAATCCAGGACTTTGACTGATTTGAAGTGAATCCAAATTACTAAAGCCACTGTTAAAAGGGTTCAAGCAATCCATTAGTGTATATATAAACATTTAATCCAATTCACCCAAGTCACTTTTTTTGGCAATGATATGAATTAACTAAATGTGGCAAATTAGTGACGCTATTCTTAAGTTTTTAATTTCAATTCAGTTTCTCAAGCTAACTACTGTGGAGGATCAAAGTAAAGGACCTTCCCCTCTAGGAGAGCACAATTTAAAAGAGAGACTGCAGGATGAGAGCTAGTGATCTGCTGTAACTGTTGTCCCCAGAGAACCTTGTGCATGAGGCCAGGAGGAGCTGGAATTTGCACCTGACCTGGATAGGTAGGATTTTGCTAGATGGTGAGCAGAATGAACTGCATCTCAGGCAGAGTGAGTAGGTAAAGCAAAGACAGTCTGGCAGAAGGGTTTAGAGAATGTTTCAGGAGCAGTGAGGAACCACCTGCCCTGACAGCACAGTGAGGGCACATAGTCATTGTAAGTCAATATTTTTTAATATATATATTTTTTTAAAGCAGCAGAGACCTTATTGTAAAAGGCACTGATTTTCAAGCCATGGAACAGGAGTTGTATTTGGAATGTAGCAGGGACTCATGTGATTCAGATTTGTTTTTTTTAGAAAGATAGTTCAGACAGCTCTGGGGAGCAGGAATCGAACAGCTTGTGGCTTTTATATTCATTCTGGTTAAGCAATGAGGAGTTGACCATTACAAGCTTTGTTCTTAAATTACCACCTTATTATCAAATAAGGCATTTTCGATTGTGTTTTGACATAATAGCTTATGTTGGTCAGAGTTCTGCAAGAACGTCTTAATACTCTCCAGATGTCTGGACAGCACCTGAGCATGGCCAGGTAACCCCAAAGCTGAAGTCTTAATGGAGAGCTGTAGTGACCCATTGTTTTCCATAGACTTGAAATTCCTAATTTTTCATTAAAAATGTAAACTTTCTTTAATTTTTATAATGTCTAAAGAATAGTTGCACTGAATATCATGGCAGCATGTAATTTGCTCTGTTTTTTGGAAGAGAAAAAACCCAAATATCTGTAATTAGGATGGTCTGCTTCCCATTGTGAATTCTCTGAACATACTAAGTCGTAACTAAATGAGCAACCAAATAAAAGTGCATTATTTGAGTGTCCTTCATATTTACCCAATTCTCTGGTTGTAACAATATAACCAGGAAGGCATAGTAGGGATATTTGACCCCATTTTTTTTAATAAGGAAACTAAATCACAAGACTTTTCCAAGCCACATGAGTACTAAATAAGGGAGACAAGATTAAATACAGTGTGATTTTTTAAAATGCATTATTTATTGGTTCTTTTTTATAAAGCTTACTTCATCCATATTCATTGACCGTATGTGTTCATTCATTGTCAAAAAACTGTGGGAAATAAAAAAAATGATGATTTGATTCTAGTCTTTAATATAAAGATAATGTAGGGGCACCTGGGTGGCTCAGTGGGTTAAAGCCTCTGCCTTTGGCTCAGGCCATGATCCCAGAGTCCTGGGATCGAGCTCCACATTGGGCTCTCTGCTGAGCGGAGAGCCTGCTTCCCTTCCTCTCTCTCTGCCTGCCTCTCTGCCTAATTGTGATCTCTGTCTGTCAAATAAATAAATAAAAAAATCTTTAAAAAAAAATAAAGACAATGTAGAATATTAGGTAATGCAAGAAAAATATGACTATAAAAATAGTTGCTATTTTTTTATTACAGCTGAATATTCTTGGAGGTCATAAAAGAAACAGATTAATGTGAATTTTTATCATTTTGGAAGAAAACGAGTAAATGAATTGAGCACCTACTGTATGCCAAGTACTCAGCTAATATATATATATATATATATATATATATATATATAGTGCACACACTAGTTTGTCAATTCCTCATAACAATTATATGAAAGTAATATTATTTGAGGAAAAGCTGATACCTGACATAGAGTTCATCAGGATAGGAAAAGAAGAAAGAGAAAGGCAACCTAAGATAGGAAAAGATATTGTATCTCAGGGCTGTGAGGGATATTGG